TGAGGAATGCTAGCTTTTATTTAACCACCAGAAATCCTCTGATAGTCAGGTTGAACCCACTTCTAGATATTTAGAGTGCCTTTTGGAGTGTGGGGAATTAAAGTCTCCTTTGGACCTAACACTGGTCAGGATGTCTTATCACAGCAACAAAAGACTAACACAAAATCTTTAATCTTTCAATACTTACTATGTTAAAAAAAAAAGAAATTATAGAAACAACAAAGAAACTACTAGTCACAACTAATATGTTAGAAAGGTCTCAGGATACAAGATGACTATAAAAAATTCTAATGTTACTTTCTAGGGGCAAAAAATATACAATGAAAACATCCATAGTTTATATGAAAATAAATATGTGGAAATAAATGTATGTTTTCAAACAAATGTGTACAGATATTCAACAAACTCCTAGGGAAATATCAAATATATATTAATCATTGGATTAAGGTATTTGATTACAAATCAAATATGTATCAAATTGCTAGGGAAATGGAAAATCACACTGAGTCACTATTTAAAAACCTACATGATGTTTAAACTTGAAAAACCTGGCACAACCATGTGCTGATGAGGATGTGAAGTGAGCAAAATTCTCATACACTGAAGGCAACAAATTGGTTCAGCTACTTTGGAAAAAGCTTAGTAAGTACTGTAACATAACTTATGCCCAAGTTGCTGTATCACAAAATACTATGATGTGAAACATGTTCACACCTAAAAGGCTGGGGGTACCCCCACCTCCAAGAGTACCAAAAGGGTGCCAGATACTAAAGGGTTACTTTCTCGGACTCAGGGAAACACTTACACAGACCAAAGGGGAAACTTACCTGATTGCTGCTGCTGGATGGGGTGCTGAGTGATCGGTGAGCCATATGTGCGTCTGTTGCAGGTGAACTGGAGATGAGGGATAGGGTTCCAGTGCAGCTTAATCCCCTGAGGGGAAAATGCCAGCAATGGAAGCGTCTATCCCAGGTTTCAGCATCAAATATGTTACAGCTCAGATGGAAAGTCAGGAGCCAAGGAATACCACAAAGTGACACCACACAACAAACCTCATGTAAGAGATTTATTGGGAGGGAAAAAACCAGGGATGTAGCTGCCTCTGCTCAGGCAAGAAACAGCAGGGAACTGAGCAGAGGGCAGAGTTTATATAACTTTTCTTGGGGTGGGAGGCAGTGTATAGAACTTTTCAGGATGAAGCTTTCCAGGGTGGAGATGGGTGGGATTTCAAGTCTAGAGATTGGGTTTTTTACCCTGTAGGATGGTGTATGTGGAGTTTCTCTGTGTCCCTACTGCCACTCCCAAGAAACCACACTGAAACTTATTATTAATTATAAATTAGCTCAGGCCAATAGCTCAGGCTTGTTACTAGCTAACTCTTACATTTTTAATTAACCTATATTTCTTATTCATATTCTGCCATGTGGCTTGGTACCTTTTCTCAGTGTGTCAAGTTCATCTTTTTCTCCTTATGTCTCCTTATGATTCTGGGGCTCCTCCTCTTCCTCTTTGTGCTCTCTTTTTGTCTGCAATTCCTGCCTAACTTCTACCTGTCTGGCTATTGGCCAGTTAGCTTCTTTATTAACCCAATCACAGTGACATATATTCACACAATGTAAATGAATATTCCACATTTCCCCTTTTGTCTAATTAAAAAGGAAGGTTTTAATTTTAACATAGTAAAATTATATACAACAAAAATAGTTATCAAGAAAGAATTACAGTTAAAATATCCAGTTCATTTGTATTTGGCAAAATAGAGAATAGCTGCCTTTTCCTGAAGAATCTAGAGTTTCAAACCTAATTTACTTTCTACCATGATTAGAAAGAACTGTAACTATAATTATCTAGTCTTCAACCCCATTGAAGACCTGAGAAGGATACAATATTACCCAAGTAAACAGAAAGTGCAGAGCAAGTGACTTCCAAAATTAAAAGATAACAGAAATAGTTGGCTACCTGGACAGTCATCCACTTTTCAGCCCCACTGGAATGCCAGGGAGGCGGCAGAGTCTAGCCATTAGGGAAGTCAGAGGATTCTATGGATGGAACCTGGCAGTTGGAGGTCCTCAGGGGAGGGGCCTGGCCACTTGCATGGCTCTAGGGGCTTACACTTACAAACCAACCATAAGGGGAAGGAAAACTCCACTTCCAGAATTGTAGGGTGAAGAGGGCCAAGGAAAACACACTGCCCCTGAATAGACCTGAGATCTGGG